CTTGCTCGAGCAAAGGGGATATTTTACGAGCGCCTCCGACCAAAATGCATACAAGCACTTGAAGGGGTTCGTAGATACTTGCTGGGGCAGCAAACAAACAAACGTGTCAGAGGATGCATTGCGATTGAGGCTTTTCCCCTTTTTTCTTCGGGGCAAAGCGTTGGACTGGTTAGAAAGGTTACCAAATCATTCTATCACCCCATGTGAATTGGTGGACAAATTGATTGCCAAGTTCTTTTCTCCAAATCATATGGCGGCTCTTCGGGACGAGATTCTAGCTTTCAAGCAAATGCCAACGGAACCATTGTATGAGATCTGGGAGCGATATAGAACAATGGTGAAGGAGTGCCCTAACAACGACATGACTGAGGTGATGGTCCAGCAGACTTTCTATAGGGGCATCAACACCATGAATCAGTGCATTGTGAACCAATTGGCTGGTGGGAACTTTATGAAACTTTCTTACCAAGAGGCATGTGACGTACTTGATGAAATGGCCGACACCTCTTCGGCATGGCAAAGCCGAACGAATGTACCCCAAGGTGACCCCACAGTCATCCATTTGCACAAGGAGTTGAGTGACCATGGCCAAGCTATTGCCGAACTTACAACAACAATGAATCAGTTGGCGAAGGCGCAATTGCAACAAGTAAAAAATCCGCGCCAAGTCAATGCAATGGAGAATGTTTCTATGCTAAAAAGGAGGCAAAGAGGGCAACAACAACCTCAAGGTAATGGTGAGCAGTTTGACAACAATGATGGTGGTGGTTATTCGAACGAGTGTTATGATGATAAAACTGAGGAATGCCAATTTGTCAATAACTACCAAGGAAATAGAGGAAATCAAGGGAATCAACAATGGCGCCCCCAAGGCAATTGGGGAAATCAACAAGGAGGCGGCAATTGGAATAATAATAATCAACAACAAGGTGGTAACAATTGGAACAATAACAATCAGAACAACAATTGGGGTAATCAAGGTAATAACCAAGGCAATTGGAACGGGAACAACAACAATAGCAATCAAGGAGGCTGGAATAGTGGTGGTAGGGGGCAAGGCTTTCAAAGGCCCCCCATGTTCCAACAACCAAACAATCCACCCCCCTTTCAGTCACAAGGGCCTAGTTCTTCCGGAAGTGATATGGGACGGATAGAGATGATGTTCGAGTAGATGATGAAAAAGAACCAAGATTCTGACGCACAATTGGCTTTACATGATACATCTATCCGGAACCTAGAGGTGCAAATAGGACAAATTTCTCAAGCTTTAAATACCCGACCTAAAACGGACGCTACCAAGTGATACGGTAGTGAACCCGAAGGGGGGTAACAATCATGTGATGGCGGTTACAACTAGGAGTGGAAGAGGAGGTGATGTTCATGCCTCGGTTGAGAATCAGGTTGTGAATGATGAAATTGAGTTGCATGATGATGATGCACCTTTGAATGTTGACAATGTGGTTGAACCAATAGTGACAAATGATGTGCGGATTGATATTGATGATGAGGCCGGGGTAGAGACTCAAGATGCCGTGAACCCGTCTAGGGAACACATTATTGATATACCCGAGCCGGCGGTGCCCAAGGCCAAGGCACCCTTGCCTAGACCACCTCCACCATATCCTCAGCGGTTAGCAAAGCAAAAGAATGACAATCAGTTCAAGAAATTCATAGACATGATGAAGAGCCTCACAATCAATGTTCCTTTAGTGGAGGCACTTGAACAAATGCCTGGGTATGCAAAATTTATGAAGGATTTAGTCACCAAGAAGCGTTCTATGGAGTGTGAAACAATAAAGATGACGCACCAAGTTAGTGCGATTGTGCATTCTATGGCCCCGAAACTAGAAGACCCTGGAGCTTTCACTATTCCTTGCACTATTGGGAGTGCGGACTTTGCTAAGGCCCTATGTGACTTGGGGGCTAGCATTAATCTGATGCCGTACTCAGTCTTCAAGACTTTGGGAATTAGGCAACCTAGGCCAACCTCAATGAGACTTCAAATGGCGGACCGGTCGATGAAGAGGCCTTTAGGTATAATCGACGATGTGCTTGTCCGGGTGGACAAATTCATATTGCCGGCCGACTTTGTCATATTGGATTGTGAAGTGGATTTCGAAGTGCCTATTATTCTTGGAAGACCTTTCCTAGCTACGGGGAAGGCATTGGTTGATGTGGAAGCAGGGGAGTTAACATTCCATGTGGGTGATGAGAAGGTGGTATTTCATGTGTGCAAATCAATGAGACAACCCAATAGTACGGAGGTGTGTTCATTTGTGGACATTGTCACGGCGGTGATAGTGGATGACCCAAGTGCCTTGATTAATGTTGAAGATCCTCTTGAAGCCGTGCTTCTTAACATGGATGTCAATGATGATGCCGGTAGAGTGGAGTGCGTGAATGCATTGCATGGAATGGGTTCATATTCATATGAGCCTAGGAAGCTATCTTTGGATCTTGAGAATCGCAAAACTCCGCCAACCAAGCCATCAATTGAGGAGCCACCGGTGTTGGATCTTGGGCTCTAATTCTACTCTTCCATTTATTCTTTCTTCTTGCCTCACTAACTTGCAGGTTGAGGCCACTGTGGAGGCGCTTCAAAAGTGAAAAAGGGCAATAGGATGGACTTTGGCGGACATCAGGGGAATAAGCCCCGCATTTTGCATGCATAAGATCATCTTGGAGGAGGATGCACGACCATCTCTTGAACATCAAAGGAGACTCAACGAGGTGATGCAAGAAGTAGTAAAGAAAGAGGTTATCAAGTGGCTTGACGCCGGTGTGGTTTACCCGATCTCGGATAGTTCATGGACCTCTCCGGTCCAATGTGTGCCAAAGAAGGGTGGAATGATGGTAGTGACCAATGACAACAATGAGTTGATTCCTACTCGGACAGTTACGGGTTGGAGAGTGTGTATGGACTATAGAAAGCTGAATAAGGTGACAAGAAAAGATCATTTCCCACTACTATTCTTGGACCAAATGCTCGATCGTCTTGCGGGCCGAGCCTTTTATTGTTTTCTAGATGGCTACTCGGGGTATAATCAAATTCTCATTGCCCCGGAGGATCAGGAGAAGACAACCTTTACATGTCCTTATGGCACGTTCGCTTTCTCGAGAATGCCATTCGGACTATGTAATGCCCCAGCGACCTTCCAAAGATGTATGATGGCAATTTTCACCGACATGGTGGAGGATATCTTGGAGGTATTCATGGACGACTTCAGTGTGGTGGGAGATTCATTTGAAGAATGTTTGGTGAACTTGGATAGGGTTTTGGCAAGATGTGAAGAAACCAACCTTGTGCTCAACTGGGAGAAATGTCACTTTATGGTGCAAGAGGGAATTGTATTGGGTCACAAAATCTCAAGGCAAGGAATTGAAGTTGATAAGACAAAAATAGAGGTTATCTCAAGGCTCCCTCCCCCTACTTCTGCCAAAGGGGTCAGGAGTTTCCTTGGTCATGCCAAGTTCTACCGGCGATTCATTAAAGATTTTTCAAAAATTGTGAACCCGCTTTGCAAATTGTTAGAGAAGGATGTCAAGTTTATCTTTGATGAGAAGTGCATGGAGTCTTTTTGAGCTATTGAAACCCAAGACGATAAAAGAGCTACGGGGGTTCCTTCGCCTTACAGGATATTATCGAAGATTTATCAAAGACTTTGCTATCATTAGCAAACCTTTGACTAATCTGTTAAAGAAGGGGGGATTCAATTGGACCATCGAAGCTACTCAAGCTTTTGAAGAACTAAAACAAGCAATGTCTAGAGCTCCTGTGCTAGCCTTACCGGATTTTTCATCACCCTTTGTAGTGGAAGTGGATGCTAGTGGTAAAGGCATTGGGGCAGTGTTGATGCAAAAGGGCAGGCCCCTTGCATTTATTAGTCAAGCATTAAGTCCTAGACATTTGGGACTTTCTACCTATGAGAAGGAACTGATTGCTCTACTTCATGCTGTGGAGAAGTGGCGCCATTACTTACAGCCTAATCATTTCATTATTAAAACAGACCATTTCAGCCTGAAGTTCTTGAAGGATCAGAGAATCACTACTTCATTGCAGCATAAAGGGGTTACTAAGTTGCTTGGGCTTAGCTATGAAATTCAATATCGCAAGGGTGTTGAGAATGTAGCTGCTGATGCTCTTTCCAGACAATTTGAGGAAGGGGAATGTTCTGGTATTACAGTAGTTCAGCCCAAATGGATGGAAAAAGTCCTAGACAGCTACCAAAATGATCCAATCGCACAAGAATTTATCACCCAATTGAGCATTGATCCTAGTGGAGTTCCAGGGATGCAACTGCAACATGGAATTCTCACACAAAATGATAAAGTTTGGGTTGGTAGCCACGGTCCTCTTAGAAAAAAATTGATTGATGATATGCACTCCACACCTTGGGGTGGCCACTCAGGCATACTTGGCACTCAACAGAGACTCAAAGCACTATTTTATTGGCCTACACTACTGCAGGATGTCAAGAAACAAGTGGCTGAATGCGAGACTTGCCAAAGAAATAAGTCAGAAAGTGTAGCTTATCCTGGGCTTCTACAGCCTCTGTCTATACCATCACGAGCTTGGGAACATATTGCAATGGACTTCATAAGCGGGCTGCCTAAATCCAATGGGAAGGACTCAGTGCTGGTAGTGATCGACGGGTATACTAAATTTGCGCACTTCTTTGCCTTGACTCATCCTTATTCTGCGAACCAAATTTGCGCACTTCTTTGCCACTCCCCTAGAAGGTGGACACTTGTCTATTAGTAAGGAAGGTTGTCACTCTTCCTTAGCTGGCCATTTTGGCTGAATAGTATATAGGATTCTAATCATTGTAATCAGAGCATGACTGAACTGAATCCCTTTTCCTTATCTTAAATTCTTTATTGTTTTTACTGCATTTCTTCATTTTTCTTAAAAATCAGTAGCTAAACGCTACAACCTCACTTTGACTCTCTCTCCTAGATCGCTCTTTAAATAAAATAAAGTAAAACAAAATAATCAAATATTAAAAATCAAAACTGAGAAATAATATTTCTATCCTTTTTTTTGTTTTGGTCTCGACTCTTCCAGCTGCCTTTAACCTTTTACTCGTATATTAACAATTAAAACATTCTTGATTATGTATCTCGAATGCCGTAATATTACTTCAAACTCCTAATTAAGTTAAGCTACTTAGCTAGGTATTAAGCTCATATGCAAACATAGGCAACAGAAAGGAATCCAAGTCTCCAAATATAATATCATGCTCTTCGACAAAACTACTCGAATCTTGGCAGTCAAAGTATGTTTGTATGTCATCTGGAAAACTCCTCCGCGGCCTGTCCGGCTCCGGCGGTGTCTCAGGGAAGTCAACGGCCGATGAAGCAGCTGTGCCGCCCACTGGATGTGGCGGAGGTACGGTGGTTCCGGCAGAATTTGAGCTCTGTTGCTGTTCGTGCTGTTGGTTGATGAAGCTAAAATTTATTTCCTCCTTTGTGTTAGGAATGGGATTTAGGTCAGTAGAATTAGGATTTGGTTTTGGTTGAGGATTGCACTTGATGTAACGGCTAAGGTCAAAGTTTGTAACAGCGTTAGGTCCCCTATGCTCTATAGCTGCCATATCATATGCCATTGCTGCTTCCTCTTGAGTAGCTGCATGTTATTATTATCAATTACTAATTGCAAAGAAAAAGAAATGAGGGAAGGAAAAGATTTCAAGAAAAAGGACAAAAGTTATGTTCACTCATTATGTTGAAAAGGTTGATTTAAAGAATGAGTTAAAGTCTGTTTTTCAAATAAGCTACAGTGGAATTATATCCTTTTCAGTTTCTAGCATCTCAAACTGTGGCAAGTCATATATTTTACTAAGAGATACCGAAATAAAAAATAATAAGTACACTAAAAATTAAAAAAAATTAACATATACTATATATACATAATAAAAATAATCTAATATATAGACACTGTATAATTTCCAATCTCAAGACCTACCTTAAGTATTCATCAAGTCTTTTTGTTTGTTAAAAGAATACTGTATATTTCAATGCTATTAGTAACTTGTTTGTTGGGTATATTAAACAGGCCTTAGATCCCAGTGACGCATTTTAAAGCCGTGCAGGACTAGGTCCAAAAGGGACAATATCATTAGCGGGCTGGGCTGTTACATATGGTATCAGAGCCACTCCGCATGGTGGTGGGGCAAACCTGAGCGAGGACCCTCGGTCCTAAGGGGGTTGTATGTGACACCTTAGGCAAATTTCACATCGACAAAACACGGGAGAGATGCTGGGTATATAAATAAATAAGCCTTAGACTCTAGTGACGCGTTTTAAAACCGTGCGAGCCTAAGCCCAAAGCGAACAATATCACTACTGGGTTGGGCTGTTACATCAATCATATATTTTCTGCATATACGGTGCAAAAGATACATACCGATACAGTCATATATTTCTCTTCTGGGTCTATACGTAGTACTTGTCTATGTGCATAATTTGTGTGAAATATCCCATCAACATAATTACGGTCAATGAAAATTGAGCTGGAGGTTGAAATTGTAGTCATGGCTCATAGGATCTCATGGGATGTTTTAAATAGCAGACCTAGCAGTTGAAAGTTGGTGATCCATATACCCAACAACCAACTAGTAATATTTAATCTAGCTAACTTCTTGGCTGTTTTTCTTCTCTTATTTGACTTACTTTCTCCTATTCCATTGATATGTTTGTGAGTCTTTTGGAATAATTAAACATTGAATAGGCTATTTATTGATAACCGACATAACTGTTTTCATTTGGCAATATTAATCTAAGACACAACTATAAGCTCCCCACCACATGCAGTGACATGGGGCCATGAAAATTTCTAATTGCATTTAAGATTAATATCATTAGACGTACTGATTTAGAACATAATGTCTTTGATAAGGACGTCAGTGAAGTTGTTGATCAGTGAAGCGACCAAAACTTATGAATATAAGAGAAAAATTATCAAGATGTAAAGGGAGGACTAATAAAATTCCTTTAATTATAATTCTTAATCTTATTACTTTCTATTAGTAAGTGTAAAAATGGGATAATTCCAAGAGATTAACAGGAAAAGAAAAATAGGAAAATATACTACAAGTAGTATGTACGGATATACTATACGTACCATATGTTCCAAGGTAGAGATACTTGTTGCCAAATACCCTGCCAATGCGAGCCTCCCATCGCCCATTATGGTGGTGTCTACAAATGAGTAATACCTAAATTTTGTTAGATATAAAGAATTTACGTAATAAAACATAAAGTACAAATACATACAAGAAAAAAAATATATATTTACTGTTAATATTATTCTTTTACTACTTTATGTTGTGAAATTAATTATTGCGAGCACATGTTCAAAAGTGGCGTGAAGCAGTGTATATAGAGTTCTAAAGTCAAGGTCAGGACGACAAGTCCAATGCCACAAGAATGGGAAGAGATAAAATCCCATATCCCATATCAGTTCATGTGATACCAGTTGCAATCATGGGCACCATTCTTATACCCTATTTGGCCAAGCTTTTTTTTTTTGCCAAAAGTGTTTTTTTTTTTTTTAGCCGTAAAGCACTTTTGGCCAAAAATTAAAGTATTTGACAAGCTTTTGGAAGGAAAAAAAGTGCTTTTGAGGAGAAGCAGAAGCAGTTTTGGAGAAGCAAAAAAAAGTAGATTCTCTCCAAAAGCACTTTTCTGAGAAGCACTTTTGAGAAAAATACACTTAGAAGCAATTTTAAAAAACTTGGCCAAACACTAATTACTGCTCAAAAGTACTTTTCAAATTAATTATCCAAACACAAACTACTTCTCACCAAAAGCACTTTTTGTAAAAGTAATTTTGAGAAAAGCACTTCTCAAAATAAGCTGATTTTAGAAGCTTGGCCAAATGGTGTCAAGCTTCATTTTATTTTTACATACATATCCCTAGATCGAGTGTATGGTCGTCTGAAAGAAATTACATTAAATTCTTTTCGTCAAAAAATTATACAGTGCAAATAAGGTAAGAAAAAAGTTTGTTACACATATTTATAGATTCATTCTAGTTTAGCGGCAAAATCAGACAAAATATTTCTTTTATATTATAGTAGATTCGAATACTAGTTGTGATATTCTTACAGCTTTTTAAATTTTCTTGTTAGAAATTCGAGCTGCACTACTATCAAATATAATTAACTAGAACATTTGTGGTTGGCAAAAGCATGCAAAACTTCTCCTTTACTTGTCTTTTTCTTTTCTTTTTTGGGTGGACCTATGGCTTTAATTAAGTGCAGCAATTTCAGATCACCGAATACTTTTGATCGAGGCAAGTCTAAAGTGCCGAATATTGGTTAGATACGGTGCATAATACTAATTTAATAGTAGGGCACACTAAGTGATCTTGTATTAACTACAACTCTAATCAAGAAAATGGTATAGCCTACAGTGTACTACAAATATAGGGAGATAAAAGGCGGACCCAAGATTTAAAAGTGAAAGGAATAAAAATTTGAACAAATGCTAGGGTCGGAATTAAACTCAGATAATGTACTAAAAGTCAAGTTGTGCCCCCAGTCGACCACCGCATCTACCCAAGATTTGAATATTAAATATCAGTCAAAATATATACCTATTATTTAGGATATATACACATACATACATACAATTTTATTCGAAGTTACCTAGGGGTAGGTCACCCCCTGCTCAAAGGGTAAGGTAGAAATTTTTCTTAATATTTCTCAAGATGATGATTAATTACCTAGCAACGCCTCGATATCTCGAGACTCCTCTTGAAAATCCACTGCTTTTTCTGCAAAATAAAACTCTCATTACTTAATTAAATTAGTACAAATATTAATTAAGGGCCCGGGAAGCTTTAATTTCTTTCTACGGAAGTCGACAGTACCTTCTCAAAGAACCAATATATTCTTCTCTCGATTGATCTTCCATTTCCTTTAGCTCTTTTTCGTACGTTGACAGCTACATTCATTACCAAAAGAAAAAAAAACAATAAAAATAAATAGAATTAGGATTAGTGATAGAACAAAAGTTTGCACTATGAGTAGAGCTAATAAATAGAAAAAATAAACATAATATTTAGGACTAATTACAGGGAAATTTAGGATGGTGTCTTGACCCCAATACTTCAATGCAGCCAAGTCATATGCATGTGCAGCTGCTTCTTCGTCATCGTAGGCCCCTTAATTAGAAATCCCCAAGAAATAAGATAAGATTCATTGAATCAATTGCTCATTGTGGTAAGCAGCAATGCTTACTTTCTTTAAAAAAAAAATTAAACTTCCCTTTTACAAATGGAAAATCTCGTAATGAATAGTACTGATTTGATATGCTATACGTAGGCAAAAGTTTTCAACATGAAATATAATGCTTAATAATTATGAAAATAAAATTTTAATTTGAATGATAATGATAGATAACTTACCAAGATATACTGCATTTTTATTGGATTTTATCACAATCACCATTCAAGCAAGAGGAGCCAAAGAAAACGAAAAAGATCCCATCAATAATGTAGTTGAACAACATCATAGCTAAATATTCATAATCACTAAATAATAAACTAATGAAGGAAAAAGAAAACAAAATAAAGGACAAAAAAATGGTGAACCTTGTCTTCCTTTTTTGCTCTGTGTTTCATTCCAACAGTTCTTATCCCATAAATGAGCTTCATATCGACCCGTCCACCTGTGCCTAATAATAATATGTATCCAGCAGCGGGAAAAGAATTTTCACATACTTAACTCATGAAAAAAGAACAGGCTGCAGGCACGTGAAGGGACGTATTGAAAAAAATTAAATTCTGACAATTCTTAAACTTTTAAATGAAATGATCACACACTTAATTGAAGAAAAGAACTAATACAAATGAAAATATACCTTGTGACACCTCTGTATATGGAGCTACGTTGTGGAGGAGAATCTCTGGGGACGACGGCTTTTCGCTTTCTCTTCCCTTTGGAAATGGCATGATCACCGCTACCGCCGCTATTACTGTTATTCTTGTCACTGTTATTACTATAAGAAGTGTTTTTCTGATTTGCTTTTGAGGTTTTCGCCATGAAATTTTGAGACTATGACCTCAAAATAGAAACTTGATTGCTCACTGAAGTAAAATAGGAAAAGGCTGGCCCTTTAATTTATGTTAGTAGCATTTGAGAGTTGCCTGACCAGTTCCCAATTGGTCTTCTGTGTCTTTCTCTCTTCTTTAGATTTTGACTTGCCTTTTCGCTTTTTGTGCCTCAATTTTATACTCATCCATTTACCCAATCAGACTTTCTCTGCTCCAATCTAATTTGAACTACTTTCTTTAATTCCTTTCCTATCTTTATAACGTAACGTGAAAAGGAAGACTAATACAGCCAAACTTTCAAAATCAGCTTATTTTGAGAAGCGTTTTTTTTAAAATATTTTTTCAACAGTAATTTTGGCGAGAAGCAATTTGTATTTGGCTAATTTATTTGTATTTATCTGCTTCTACTTAAATGTACTTTTTTTTCTTCAAAAAGTCAGGCTAAACACTTCAATTTTAAAAAAAATACAACTTCTTTTGTGAAGAAAAAGTGCTTTGACCTTGGAGAAGCATGATCAAACCGGCAATATTTTATATCTTCTTATAAAAAAAGAAATCGTACAACTAAAATATGCAATAGATCTCAAATCGAATTTCGTAAAGTTTATTGGAAAGTTGTTTCAAGACTTTCTTAAACACACATTGTGCACGTTTCCAAATTTTTGTGCAAACTTTTTGAGAAGACGCACTTCCAAACACATTTAAGGTGGAAAATGAATATATCAGATTGAAAGAGAATGGTTAAAAAAAAAAAAAAAGGCTGCAAAAGATAAGAACTAAAATGGTGACCTAAATAGTAAGTTCCACTCAATTAGTAATTTGTTGGCTGTGGGCTTGTGGTGTGTGTTGATGCAAGTAAAAGTTGGAGCACCTACTTTGACTAGTCGTTATCATGGATAATCACATTGTAATAGCTTAGCAATGCCTCTTCTTGGCAAAATGGTTGAAAGAAAACAATTAACCTGTTAAGATATATGTGAATATATTTTGTTATTGTATTTTAGGTAAGCATATATTTAGGAATAATTAGAATATATTTTGTTATTGTATTTTAGGTATGCATATATTTAGGCATAATTAGTTTCCTTATTGATAGCCTAGATGTATGCTACGGTTTATGTATATATATTCCAGAAAGTGAATACAATTGGTTGAGGAAAATATTTCATCAATTCTTTTCATGGTATCAGATTCCTAGAGTTATCGTTTCTACTCTTCTTCTTCGATCTTTTTCTTCACCTTCCGCAACCCTATTCGGTGGTCTTCACCACTGCTCTCTCCACCATGTCGGACAACAAGAGTTCCTTCCATCCAGCTCTTGCGGTTTCGAACATCCGAAACCATATCTCCATTACCCTTGAGATGGAGAACATCCAATATTCAACGTGGGCGGAGCTTTTCAAAATTACCGCACGTTCTCATAAGGTCCTTCATCACATTATTCCTCCGGCCAAAGGCAAAGAGAAGGTACCTTCAACTGAGGATGAGAAAGAATTATGGTCGACTCTTGATGCTACGGTGCTTTCATGGATTTATGCTACTATTTCGAATGACCTTTTGCATACCATTATTGAGCCCGATGCTACGGCCATGGAAGCTTGGAATAGGCTTCGTGACATATTCCAAGATAACAAAAATTCTCGTGTGGTAACCCTTGAAGCCGAGTTCTCTACTACCAAAATGGAGAATTTTCCAAATGCATCGGCTTATTGTCAGCGTCTCAAGTCTTTGGCTGACCAATTGAAGAATGTCGGGGCTCCAGTATCGGATAGTCGGCTTGTCACTCAATTAGTTTCGGGTCTCACACGGGCATACAGAGGTATCGGTACCGTGATTCGACAAAGTGATCCTCTGCCGCCATTCTATCAAGCCCGATCAATTGTAATATTGGAGGAGGCTGGCTTGGCGAAGGAGGTTGCCACAGGGTCAGAATCTGCGATGGTAACCTCTCACACGGATTTTGAAGAGTCGGATTCTACACATTCAAACACCGAAACCAAACCACACCGCGGGAAGCTATATGGCAACCGGAAGAACAACAGGCGGTCTGGTTCCGGCGGTGGGAGAGGATCCGGCGGCGGCAACCAGGGCCAGGGCCGCGGTGGCGGTGGCCGTGGGGGTCAACAGCAGCAGCAACCTAATCAGCGGTCTTCGCAATGGAGTACGCAGCAACAATGGGGTCTTTTTCCTCCTTGGGCTTGGATGCAAGGTTGGGCAACTCCACCTTGTCCTTTTCCAACACAAGGCTGGGCCCAACAACGTCCTATGGGTCCTAGAGGGCAACAACCTAGTGTCCTTGGCCCACGACCTCAGCATGCCTACATGGGTTCTACAGTTGGGCACTCCCCGTCATATGCTCCAACAGATATTCAGTCTGCAATGCACACGATGTCCCTAAATCCGCCCGATCCGTCTTGGTACATGGATACCGGAGCCACTTCTCACATGACATCCTCTAATGGTAATCTCTCGTCTTATTTTAATTTGAGCAATCATAATAGTGGTATTATTGTTGGTAATGGTCAAATTATTCCAATTCATGGTTATGGTCACACTTCATTGTCATCCCCTAGCCCTCCCTTATCTCTTAAAAATGTCCTACATGCACCCAAAATTGTTAAAAATCTGATTTCTGTCCGCAAATTTACTACTGATAATTCTGTGACGGTAGAATTTGATCCTTTTGGGTTTTCTGTGAAGGATTTTCAGACGAGGGTGCCAATAATGAGATGTGAGAGCCGGGGCGACCTTTACCCTCTTACCACTTCTATCAACAATCAAGCTTTTCCGTCATCTTTTGCAGCCATCTCCTCCTCACTTTGGCATGATCGTTTAGGTCATCCGGGTGCTCCTATTTTGGATGTTCTTAGACGTAATAAAAGCATTGATTGTAATAAACTCTCTAGTTCTAGCATTTGTCGATCTTGTATTTTTGGGAAACATGTTAAGTTGCCGTTTGTTCCTTCTAGTTCGAGTACTTCTTTGCCATTTGATATTATTCATAGTGATCTTTGGTCATCTCCCGTTTTGAGCTCCATGGGGCACAAATATTATGTTTTGTTATTGGATGATTATACCAATTTCCTATGGACTTTTCCATTAGCTAGGAAATCAGATGTGTTTGATAAATTTTTGGAATTCAAAGCTCATATCCTTACCCAATTTGAGCGTAATATTAAAACTGTCCAATGTGATAATGGGAGGGAATTTGACAATGGTCCGTTTTGGGAATTTTGTAAGAAAAATGGCATGTCCTTCCGTCTTTCTTGCCCTCATACCTCTTCTCAAAATGGAAAAGCCGAAAGAAAAATTCGAACTATAAATAATGTCACTCGAACTTTATTAGCTCATGCCTCTCTTCCACCTTCTTTTTGGCATCATGCGTTACAAATGGCTACTTATCTTCTTAATGTGATTCCTAGCAAGATTTTAGGAAACCTCTCCCCTCTTCAAATTCTATATCAACGGGTTCCCTCTTATGCTCACATCCGGGTTTTTGGTTGCTTGTGTTATCCTTTAATTCCTTCTACTACAATCCACAAATTACAACCTCGATCAACACCTTGTGTATTTTTGGGTTATCCTACTAATCACCGTGGTTACAAATGTTATGATTTATCATCAAACAAAATTATAACATGTCGCCATGTGGTATTTGATGAGCATGTGTTTCCTTTTTCCCAAATGCATTCCCCATCCCCGTCATCTTATGATTTCTTATGTGATGGTTTGTCTCCTTATACATTACATCATTTACAAAATCCTATTGCCTCTGATTCGTCCCAGCAACAAACAATGCAACCGCCACAATCTCCATCATCTAATGTAGGCCCATTTACCATGCATGAGAGCCCAACAACTTCCACTATTCTAAGCCCAGCCTCCTCGAGTCCAAATAGTCCTGTTGCTGACCGGACTCCCTCAGTTGGCCCAGCTCATAATTCAACCCCAAGTCTAAGCCCATCTCCACCCTCTAGTCCAACACCAGCGACCCAGACTCTAGCACCTACTCCTCTCATCTCCAAACAGCCCACTATGGTCACAAGAAGCCAACGGGGTATTTTTAAACCCAACAGAAAATATGACCATGCATATGCTACTAAGGTTACACGGTCACCATTACCTCGTAACCCAGTAGAAGCTCTTTGTGACCCGAATTAGAAATTGGCCATGGATGACGAATATGATGCTCTTATTAAAAATAAGACATGGGAGTTAGTGCCCCGTCCACCTAATGTGAATGTTATTCGTTCTATGTGGGTTTTTGCTCATAAAGAAAAATCTAACGGTGTTTTTGAGAGGCATAAAGCCCGTCTTGTAGGTGATGGGAAAACTCAGCAGGTTGGCATTGATTGTGGTGAAACTTTTAGTCCGGTGGTGAAACCGGCTACGATTCGCATAGTCCTTTCTCTCTCCTTATCAAAGGCATGGCCCATTCATCAATTGGATGTGAAAAATGCTTTTCTTCATGGTGAGCTACAAGAAACAGTGTATATGCATCAGCCATTGGGGTATCGGGATCGTACTCATCCAGATTATGTCTGCTTGTTGCGTAAGTCCTTGTATGGGCTCAAGCAGGCACCCCGGGCGTGGTATAAGAGATTTGCAGATTATGTCATTTCCCTTGGGTTCGCAAATAGCAAATGTGATAATTCTTTATTTATTTATCGAAAGGGTCGTGACATGGCTTATATTTTGCTCTATGTTGATGACATTATTCTCACTGCTTCTTCTCATGCTCTCCGGTTGTCTATTATGCAACTTCTCAGTTCAGAATTTGCCATGAAGGATCTTGGTCCTTTAAATTATTTTCTTGGTATTGCAGTGTCTCGACATAAGGGTGGTATGTTTCTGTCACAACGCAAGTATGCTGAGCAGATAATTGAGCGAGCCGGAATGTCTTGTTGCAAGTCGTCTCATACTCCTGTTGACACTAAGGAGAAGGTTAGTGCTACTTCTAGTACTACTTATGAGGATCCCACTCTTTATCGGAGTCTTGCTGGGGCTCTTCAATATCTTACTTTCACCCGACCAGATATTTCATATGCTGTTCAACAAGTATGTTTACATATGCATGATCCCCGAGTTGACCATATGCAAGCTCTGAAACGTATTATTCGATATATTCAAGGTACACTTGATTATGGTCTCCATCTCTACTCATCTCCAGTTTCGTCTCTTGTTTCTTATACTGATGTTGATTGGGGCGGTTGCCGAGATACGAGG